ATCTGATCTAATCTGAAGTGTACTTATTATATTTAACTACATTTCTTTCTTAAGCAAGCGATATTGCAAGTTAACATTTTATTCATATGAATAATTTAGACATAATTATGAATAATATATTTTCAATTGTCTATTTTCAAATTGACAGCATTAAGATGCCTCAAATATTTAGACAAGTAAATGCCAAATAGAGATATGTGTGTCTAATTTTTATATATATGATAATTATTTAAATTTGCTAATAAACAGCAGAAGTATCTGGTTATCTTCCGAGATATGGGTCCTCTCCTAAATATTAGAACAAATGAAAACTGAATCTTCAGAGATTATCGCACAAATTAATAAACCAAACTTTCATCTTGTCATTGAATAAAGACTGGGAATAACATTTAAAAGTATTACAATAGTACACTCATATTGTTTCAATATTCATTAATATTCATACGTGACGTCACATCTCACACTCCCATAATCACTGCCGTAAGAACCATAAGTCTCACATAGTAATTACATATATATTTACGATTACTCAGTAATTTCAAACGCAATTTCTCCGATGCAATGAATAATTTTGAGCCAAAGAAGTTCAGTCCGCCCTTTCAAAAGTTGTTTCTTAAAGATACATTTTAATATTGCCACGTGTTTATGGTTTCGTGACCAATAATAATGGGTTCTGGATTGAATGATTGGATTTACTGACGCTTTGTTTTACAATCATTCTTGATCACCATAAAGTACTACAGTGACTGCCTAAGACTCATTCCATTTTGACTGGGCTAAGACTGCCTTCTCTTCTGGTCTTCCTTCTACGGCGAGTAACTTCTCCTGTATGACCGCTTGCGCTTGAGTCGAGTCTTATGTTACGACCAACGATCTGTAGGCCAGTCTGTCTTAGAATAAAGCACACATCTTAGGCTTACGACCAGATTCTTTTTACTGTCAGATAGTTGCTGGTTTGTTCATGTGGGGCGCTCTCTCTGACGAGAGGGCTAGTCTGTTGTTTACAACTGCTGCTGGCCCTCGCCAGGGCAGTCATTCTCGGGTCCGAATCCCGTGGGACTCGCGGCCATATTTTACTGTCTCAGATTGGAGATTTCCCTTTTTTTCGCCTCCTACGACTCACAGGGCTACAGTGGAGGTATTCGATCTCGCCTCCACACGGGATTAATCCTGAAGTGTTCTTATCTGAACGGCCCCTTATATAGCCTAGGAAGTCTCTGTTGCTTGCGCGTAACAACTTTCTTGTTTTCAAAGTCTACAACTTCTATTTTCGTACTCAAAGACACATTTCTTTAACACATAACGACGGTTTGTGTTTCAGAATCGTATGTACGCGGAAAGGTGTTTGTCAATTCGTGTCCTAGGAAGGGCTTGTATTTCACAATATTATAATTCCATCTACGCCTAGTTCTTCCAAGTTACTTCTTCTCCTCAGATTTTCTGGTCAAAACTTTAACTAAACTTCTCATGCGTGTTACATTTACCCAACAATCTGACTCTTCCTTCAAGTTCATAACCACAGCAATGCACTGGATTCATCTGTGTCTGCCTGTAACCAATCCACTTTTACCATTTCGTGATTATCTCCTTGTTGCTTAATAACAGAAAGCTACAAAGTTAAACTGTGTTTCATTACATATCACAGCGTGAACACGTATGGAGAAGTAGAAGTATAGCTCCATATACTTTTAATCTTATAGAGGTGAGCGGTCAGCTTACAATACGTTCTCCTTACAGCCACTAGAACAGCCGTAATTGTAGTGGGGAGGAGGCTGGCTGGGCCCCAGGGCCTGTTCTCACATGTGGAGATGAGAGAAAGCCTGTGCCGTACCGGAAATTTAGCTCATATATCTCGCTCGTCCTACCCCTAACCTAGTCACTGTACTGACTGAGCTATCACAGTTTCAGACATCAAGTGTGCTCAATTCTGTTGTCAAAATAAAACTGTTATACAAATGCTATATTTTTGGGGATTTAATGTTCTCATAACAGCAGTTATTAAGACTTTTATCTTCAGGGACATAACGCCGTGTAGTCCGTTGAAATCAACCGATATTTCGTAGATATATTTAGCTTCTAGCTTCAGGTTTTGCTTGCTACTTGTTTCACGATAATTTCTTGCTTAGCTTATTCTTGGAGCCTTAAAATGGAGGCGACGTGTTTCTCTGAGACGTTGGTTGACTTTAAATGGACGTGAATCCCAGAAGATAACTTTCCAGTATAATTTTTCCATCGCAATAATGAATCAGAAATTGCTTTGTTTTCCATTCCGTCATTTTGCCCAAGTAAATGTAAACTGGTTCCGATTGGTGTGAACTATACACAACTTGTATGTGAAAGTAAAAGAAATAAGAAAATAAAGTTGTCACTGTGTTTAATTAATTAAACACTATGCCATGAAGGACTACGGGGGAGTGGATGACTGGATCCATATTGTCTTGACCTCGGCACTAGTTGGAGGTGAGTGGTCAGCTTCACCCACCGGCCGCTTTACCCCCGGGGAATTAGTCTTCGATACCCATTGGATAGGAAGTTAGGTGAACCCCAGAGTCCCTCTGCATTATTTGGAGAAGAGAAAATTATTGAACCTACAGAGACTCGAACTCTGACTCCTCTGTCGTCTAAGGACAACGATGATAAGGAAGGTGAGTGTATATAAAAAGACAAAGATACCCCTCTAACAGACCGTGGAGGTCCACAGATTTGTGAGACGTCAAGGCTCCCATATTTTCTAGACAATCGGCTCACGGATGGCGTCTTCCATACCGGCCGCACCTTTAGCCCAGGAAGGTTCCTGGTACTCATTTCTGTTACAGGCTGAGCCGATCCCAGGGTCACAGTGCGGCTGGAAGGATCAGGTTAATTGAAAAATCCAATGACTTCATCGGGAATCGAAACTACGATCTTCTGGCTTGTAGCATAGTGATAAGTTTTGGCAGGTATACCTGAAGTAAAGAGTAAGAACTAGATATTGATGGAAGGATAATACTAAAATGGATGTCAGAGAAGATCGGGTGAGATATGGAATGGATTGTTCGAGACAAGGACCAGGGGCGAACTTTTGTGAACAAGGAGAACAACTTTCGAGTTCTATAAAATTTTTGGAATTTCTTTAGTAGCTGAGCGACTGTTGCATTATCAAGAGGGGCTTAAGCCTAAATGCAAAGAATTCAAGAGTTAGAATCAGTGTTAACTATTGAATGATGATAAAAAATATAAATGATTTCGAAAGAAGGGGTGTTGAACTAATGGGTGTAATATCCTGGCATTACCCTGGAAGAACTAAGGAATACGAAAAATTCTCAGATGTCTCGACAGAGATTCGAACCAAACACCTCCCGAATATATATCTACAGGTTACCGCTACACCAACAAAGTAGATAATAAACCTTAGTACACTGCAGGAAGCGCCACTGGGCATCTCGTCTAGACATACTTTTTCAAATCTTGCTTTATTTTAAGTCACGTGCTTGTGACTTATATACTTAAGTAACATGGTCCTCAATTGGCATGACATTTTCTTTAGTATTTATGAAGAATAATTACATAGTAGCCGATCACAGGTTCCGCGCTTCTAAGGCATGAACCGTCTTCGCTCGGTAGAACGCTGGGGTGGTGGGTTCGAAACCTACTCAAGGCACTGATATTTGTATGAGTTTATTTTGTGCTTGTGTTGCTCTGTGTATAGGCAGCGGCCTTGCGTCGGGCTGATCCCCCGTCCAAGGAGTCCTACAGTCTGTGTATAGGATTAAGTAACTGAGAAAGTTGCCAAGGTTCAAAGGGCTGCAGAGCCATAGAGAAAAAGAAACAATAAACCACTCTAATCCGATTACAGTTAATCCGGATGACGGATAATCCGGATCGAAATATGAGAAATGAAAAATTCTGTTCACATTCTAGTATATACTTTAAAAGAAACGTTGCATTTAGAAGCAAAAGGGGTTAGAGCAAAAGGACTTCCAGACAGTGTTGAGGGCTGCTGGAGAGACTGAAACCGCGAAAGAGAATATACAAGATTGGCTTTAACTGGATGAAGACCCTGGATTTCAGTTCCTGAAAGAGGGAGAAATTGCTGCGGTGATATCTTTTATTTATTTTCATATCTAATACCTATATTATTAAATTTTGCATTTATTTTTTACCTAAGTTTCCTTGTCTTTTAGAGTTATCTTGTGCTTCATTATTCCTAATTCTCGGTTAATTCGGATGACCCTGCCCTGAAAATTTCATCGTGTTTCCTGGTAGAAATTTACTGGTTTCCCTGGCGAATTTACAGCGACTTTCTTCAGAATCGAATAATTGCTTCTTTCTCCTTGCCGGATGATAGTATAGTTTATCCTTTGATTCTGAAGAAGACGGCAGTAAATTCCTCCAAATCTTCAATAAAATTGTACCAGACTACACGGGATCTTGTGCCAGAAGACAATACACTTTATAGTTACTGCAGTGAGGAAATCTAATTTAGGCCTTCGGTCAACATAATTAGGTTTATGTTTCTGATTATTAGCATAAAATTTTTTTTCTACAAATATACTTATTGCGATATCATTTGATGAACTTCAGCATAAAAATATATTTTAACCTTGAATTAATATGAATATTTTTCTGTTTCAAATTAAATAACGTTGTTGGATGAGTGGACAGATTTGGACAATGAAGAGATTCTAACGAGAAAAGGACCAGATGGGTAGGACATGTAGTATACGAGAGAAGAAAAGGGCATAATAAATATGATTAGAAAATGTGATGGAAAGAGAAGAAGAGATGGGCGTAAATGGAAGGAAAATATTAAAGGAATATCTTAAAGAAAGAAAATTGGAGGATATGAATGGGATTATTCTGATTGAGAATATGGATCAGTGATGGGCTTTTGTGAATAGGGTAATGAATATTTCGTTTCCATAAAATTCTGTGATTTTTTGACTCTGTTAGCAACTGTCGGCTTGTCAACAAAGATTCGCCATGGATTCAGTTAGATAGTTAGTGTTCATGATGTCGAATACATTACTATATATATAATTTTTGGAGACAAGACACAGTATAATTTGGTAGAAAGTCTCCTTCCGAGACACTGGCTTTATCCCCTACAGGACTACACGATGTCAGTTCCTAGAAGAAACATTTATAATGCCCTCAGTGAAAACTCAAATCCCACAACTGTTCTGTATGTTTCCAATGAGATGAATTGTGAATTCATTCAAACAGAATTCCATTACCTTTCACCTAATGATCTATCTTGGTGTCCTGACAGCTTTTGCGGTGTCTTATCTCGTCTCAACAACTCTCAGAACGTGGGAACATCATCTTCTGCAAACTACATATAGAATGAGATGTTGTTGGAATGGGTTGGTAAGCTTGTTTGGTGAGTAGTAAACAGTTGGTCCAGAGCGGGAAGACTGCCTCTGCTTGCATCGTCTCTGCAGCCATAAGCTGGAGCTGCAGAGATGCTTGTTGCAGCATCACGGTTTGGTGCACCCCCTCTACCTTCTGTTTAGGGGGTAGACACCGGTCAAACGGCCACTCACCCTCTTTCAGGCTTGTCTGTTTTCGGCTTTTGCAAGATGTAGTGGACAGTGGTACACAGAGGCAGTTTCTCAGGAGCAGCAACTCTGATGTGAGTAATCTACAAGAAAACAAGAATGAGAAGGTGAACTTGTCTTTCTATTGTGTGACACTTCTTCATAATTTACGTGACAAAGAAGCTGCAGGCCCTTTTAGAAGGCGGTTGGAATTTTCCCAAGTTTTCATTGTATTTCAAAATATATTGCACGCATTTCATTTGAAAATATCTTAGTCATTAAGCATCCTATTGCACATCGCTTATTTTGAGCTTCTTGCTCACAGTCTTACATGGAATCCTGTGTTAAAATCTTAAAATTAACGTTTTTTTCTTCTTTTAAGTTAAGATTTTTAACACGAGTTTGCGTGTGAGGCTGTGAATAAGAAGTGATTACACATTAAGATCTGAAGTTGCATATGCTAACCGTTAGTGAACATAGTATTTACAACACCTACGTTAAGCATAACAATCTTACTAATGCTGTGCAAATTGTAATTATGTATTTCAATAAAGATACTAATTTACGGATTATGTAACAAAGCTCTGAATCACTCATATATAAATACAACCGAATATTAGAATATTTCATGAATAATAAATTAGAACGGATATGGAAGGAAACTTGCATGGCCTGATAAGAGGTGTAAGCTTTCTTCTTAGACCTTAAGACCGAAAGATGCTGGGTTCCTCTGAAACATCGGTAAATTCTATCAGACTTCACGGTGGTACATCCCAGAATAAAACATTTATCATATTTTGAAAGAGTCCATAACATGTTTGGAGCCGGGACATTTCAGTCGGTATAGCAACTGGCTAGGAGCTGGACGGCCGGAATTCGAATCCCTGTAGGGGCAAGTATTTTCTCTTCTCTATGTTGTCTAGACCGGTTCTGGGGCCCACCCAGCCTCCTATTCAATAGGAATTGTGGGCTCTTTCCCCGGGTTAGAGCGGCCTGGGCGTGAAGCTGACTGCTTATCTTCATCCAATGACGAGGTCAAGAAAATATAGATCTTTACATCCACTCCCCCATACGCCTTCATGACTTAGTGCTTAATTAGTTGAGCATGGGGACAACAACATATTTCCTAATACTGTTTCAGTAACCAAGTTGTATAGCCGAGGAATATTACCACAAATTTAATTACTCTAATTAGTGGCTTGGTGGGGATTCGAAGTTGGTATATCTGTATCTGAACACGTAAGTGTTAAAAGAACATTTTATTACAAGGCATAACAAGTATTTAAAACAAAATATTTAACTCTAAACACGGATTAAATTTATTCGAGAAAGTGTAATTTTAATAAGTATAGGTTTTGGATAAAACCCACTGTTGCAGTATTGATATGTTTGCGTCCTGCGTTATAATAGACTGTTATAGTCCACCTGACACGGAGCGTTGCTGCGATATGCCCCGCAAGAGACATACGCTGCGGATATTACGAGGGGCCAAGTCATGTACATATAACCTGCCATTAATATGACCATTCTCAGCGCAGTGCCTCAGAGCATTCGTCACTCCTCAATACGGACCTTGTAACAGCAAAACAGCTCCTCTGTTCCGAGTCCCACTCACAACGTAGGGTGCATATACTACACTAAATCCTGAAATATTTCAGGACATTTCCTCCCAAAGCTCTGATGAAAAGAGAAGATTCTTCAAAATAACTTATAATCGCGTCTTATATTACGTCATAAATGCAGCATTCAGACATAATTTACATAACTCAATACGCGAAAGGTATGTAGAACTAACTAACTGTAGTAAATAGGTACTCATTAAACAAGTGTAAATAATTGCGTAAATAATGAACTAATTAAAGAAGTAAATTCACCCTGGTAAGCCTAAATACACAGGTTAATACTCTAATAAATATCTCATTAAAATAATTATGGATATGTGTAAATGAATAAATAAATAAAATAGAAAAACGTAAAAAAAATAAAACATCCCTATAACAGGCCGTGGAGGATCATAGGCTTGTGAGACATCGAGTCTCCCACATTTTCTAGACAATTTGCTCGCAGACGGCGGTGAGGTTGTCAGCCTTACACCCTGGCCACCCTTTACCCCCAGGAAGATTCCTGGTACTCATTTATGTTAGCAGCTGAGTCGATTAGGTTAATTGAAAAATTCGATGATCTTATTGGCAATCGAACCCGTAACCTTCCACCAACTATGCTGAGGCGTATTAAGAATTGGAGCTATAGCTGTCGTAGACCATTTTGTGCTATCATCCTAGTATTCTTTTGGAGGGATAAAGAAAATTATATAGAATCCAAGTCCGGATATTTTAGGCCCAGGCTGAGACTAGAACCCTGTACTTCTCACATACAGATCAGAAATATTATTGCAAAGGAATTCAAAAATGTTAAACCTGATATATATTTATATACTAACTATATTTATGTAGGAAAGCAAGAACCCTTGACATGATACATATAATTATATGAATAGGGGTATTATTTTTCTAATTTTCTTCAGATAACCTAGGCCAAATTTCTACTTTTTACTCGCCTTCTCACATGCAAAATTTTACTGAAATCTTAAAATTCACATTCTAGAATTTTAAAACTATTTTTCACATCACTGGTGCACTATTTGTTTCCATCGATATAGCCTTCAACGCGTGCTTCGATGTTGAAACGTGAAAGATAATTTTAAAATTAAAAAAGACATGAATTTTAAGATTTTTGACACAATTTTGCATGTGAGACGGCAAAATAAGAAGTCAAAATAAGGTTGTGCAACATCTAGACCCATGTTTTGACATGATTTTAACTCACTTCATGTATTTTCACTCTGTGGGACTCGGGTATTACCGACCTTTCGACGGTAATACTGCTTTCGTCTTCATCATAATTAATTAGGATAGTTCAACAGTTTTATGTTGTAGGGCAGTCGGTATAGCGACTGGCTACTGGCTGGAAGACAGAGGGGTTGGAGTTCGAGTCCCAGTAAGGGCAAGATTCTTCTTTTCTGGACGTCGTTGGTACCCGTTCTTGGGCCCACCCAGTCTCCTATCCATCACACAGGGGGGCCTTTTCCCCGAGGATAAAGCTGACCTCTCGCTTCCATCTAGTAGCCAGGTCAATGGTACGTGGATTTATACCTCCACTCCTCCATACGCCTTATTGACGCAGTGCTTAATTAGTTAAGTTACTTTTATTCTATTACTTTCCATTCATGTTAATGACGAATGGGATGTTCATAAGACCGTTAACAAACACATTGGCTCAAGTGGTAACAGTCTCACTTAAACTCTGGAATATCCCATTTCGAATCTCGGGAGGCACACTGAGTAGCCTGGTGTTTTCCATAGTTCTCCTCAGTTCCACCTGTAAAAATTCCGATATATAAATTACAAGATGCCACAAGAAATTCTATCTACATGCCTGTATATCTATTTATGGCTCTACAGCCCTTTGTTGGGCCTTGGCCGCTTTTCAGTTTCTTACTCTTATACACAATCAGTAGGACTCCTTGGACGGGGGACCAGCCAGTCTCAAGGCCGCTACTTGCACACAGAGCAGCACAAACACAGAATAATCGCACACATACATCCTTGCCCTGAGTGGAATTCGAACTCACGACCCCAGTGTTGGAGCGGGCGAAGACTGTTCATGTCTTAGACCGCACGGCCACTGTGATCGGCATATATGCTAGTCGCTATCATAAAATTATTCGATGTTACAGCTTATAATTTGACTTACTGACCGCGTCTTTTTATACACTACAAACTAAAAACATAGGAGTCGTAAATGAAAATAAATCCCTATCTAGATAATTAAGATAGAACTTATTCAGTGCAATAAGAGACTTAGAGCACAAACTGTACTTTCATCCAGGCGGATACCCTTTAATTTGAAGTCGTCCTAATCAGAATTCAACTCCTTAGCTGAGAAGAGATCTTCGGACCGCAGCGCAAAGAGGAATTTGCATCTGAAATCAAAGAAAATTAGAAATGTAAGTAACACATACACGCTCAAGGAACAAGAGTTAAAATTAATTCATGTTCAAAAACACACCGAGTCCCACAATTTGACATGAAGTGGAACGAAGTAAATTTGCTTAAGTCGGGACAACGACTATCGTGACTTGCAGTTTGAGCGGAATTCCTCAGCCCCTCTAGGCAAATGCCTGGCTAATACTTTAAATTCTGATTTGACAATTTCCTTGCCCGCATTTTTGCAGTCACTGTTGACTACCTTCCTATCACTGCACGCTATATAATATCAATTCTTTAAAGCATCGTTAAGTATATGGACGTAAAGAAAGTTAGTATAGACCTATGGCTCTAGACGCCATAATCAACTTCAAGCCTATTTTTCTGCGTAAACAAAATAAAGTTATGTGGGATTTGTGGTTTTCACAACGGCGACTGTGAATAATAACATCTTCTGGGATGTGGAGCCGTGTATACCTTGTGTGAACCGACGTTCCAGAGAAAACTCTCGCCTCCATCTTCAGGGTAGAAAAATCCGCAAGCAAGGAAGCGGATTGCTGAAGATGGAGGAGGTACGTTCCGCCGAAACATCGGTTCACACAAGGTCTACAAGGCGTCACATCACAGAAGATCGTGTTCTTCAAAATAAAGTTAAATAAGGGGATCTCCACATTACATGTATAGGTCTGAGAGAGGCCTTCACTTTTTGAATTTCGAAACAGGTAACTGACTTTCATGAAACTTGGTGGGGAGGTTTTGCCAATTGTGGTACCGAAATATCTTGCTTCTAATCCATCACCTGAAATTGTAGGAGCATCGCTTCATTCAGAATCATGAAATGATATATTTCAAGGAATCTAATAAAAATTCTCCAAACTTTGCTAATTTTTAAATTTTACTGAATGTAGGAAAACAGGGTGTGAGCCTTAAGAATACTGTCACGTGTTAGGGTTCCATGACTAATAATAGCGGTTTCTGGATTCGAAGACTAGGTTTATTAACAACTTCGTTTATAATCTCTCTTGATCACAATCAATTATGGAGCTATCGCTACTCTACCCACTTCACAAATGCCTAGGACACGCTCCATTCTCGCCCTTGTACTCCATTGTACTTCGTTGTACTACTACAGCTTCAAAATTCGACTCTCTTATAATTCCTCTGCACGGACCCCACGTAAAACACATTTTCTGTTATGAAGAATGTGTGGTTATTGGTCCATTACCTAGGAATGGATATCCTTTTGTTGAGAGCGCTACCTCAGGAATACTTTTACCGAGCCGTTCCCAAGCAATGGTCATATGCGTCACAATATTTCCTTTAGCTCTTCATTTGATGGTGATATTTATTGAACCACTGGAGCTTGGCAGCTAAAGATAGGTATATAAACACATCATAAATACCGCATTACTAGTACTTCGAATATAAGATGCACGTTTTATACAATTATCCCAGTTGAAAATTTTGTTTACGTCTTAAATTCGAGGAATGTGCACCTTCATAATTTTTTCCTTAATCCCATATTCAAAAACTGGATGCAGCTTAAATTCGAGTGAATCTTATGTTCGAAGTAATACAGTATATCAACGCATTATGTAGGAATTGTTTTCAGGTTAATAATTAAAAACATGGCGACGATGCGAATCTTTGAGTTCAAATCTGGCAGTTATAACTTAAAGAAAATTTATATGTAAGCAATAAATACTTCACAGAAATTATATAAACCAAAAGTAATGGTAGTTAACAGATCTGAAGAACTAGATATCTTTGCAGTAGAGCAATGTACCTATGCATTGTGGGTTCTGGTGAGAATATTTTGTTAGGAGTTACGTTACAGGACAGGCAAGCTCACGCAAAACGGTTTTACCCTGTAAGCTTCCTAACGACATGACGCGAAGGGGGGGGGGCTTATAGGGCAGGGATGTCCATACCCCACAACATATCACACCTCAAAGAGGCCCACAGGAATGTTTCAAGC